TGCCACGTCATACAACAGAATTACTCGGAAGCCCACGCATGCGCAACAATTTCGCAGGAAACAAAATGGAGGATTGCAACCGACAAGGTGCTGAGGTGTATAAATTTGATGATATGTCGATTTTTTATTGGACGGTAGAATGAGATATTTCCTAGTGGTGGACCCCATGTTTGTAATTACTCAGTAGCCCTCAACAGCGTAACTTGGGAAGTTGGAAAAAGTGGGGATGCGGGTCCCTAACGTAAAGCTTTATATATACTCTTCTATGCTTTCTACCCGAGAGCTAGGCAGACTCTCTGTACGCGAAGCCAATCAAAACTTCTAAAGGTAAGGATTCACAAAAGCCATTTGCAATTCTCTCTTTTTTTCTTTTTTCTTTTTTCTTTTTTTCATATTTCTGTATGATGTTGAAATTGGATATGCAGAATCGTTATCGATTGTGATTTTGATAGGTTCATTCTGCTATTTTTTTTTTCTTCTCTGGTGGAAAGTTTATTATGCTCATTTTCACTGCAGTTCTGTATGCCTCTTCTTGGTCTTTTGTTTGTTTTTTTTTTTTTTTAGTGGATCTGTTGTTTTGCTGTTTGGTATTTGAGAAAACAAAATGATGAAAGAAATGGGAGTGGAATTTCTTGATCTTTTCTTAAGAAACAAGAAATAAAAACTTATTTTAGACCGAAGTGTTTCTGCTTCTTTTTTTTTTTTCTTTTTTTTTGGTATTTTTCTCTTTTTCTTTCGAGTAGATATTTCAATTGTTTGTAATTCTGTTTACTTTGCTTCAAAATATATAATGTTAAGGATGATTTGGGTAATAATTTCCTTATGTTGGTGAATCTGAAAGTTATTAATGTACTAACACTATGTTAACTTCAGAATTCTTTATAACCAGTTCTAGTTGATAGTGTTTCATATCTGATTTGGACAATTTTGTATTCCTTGCCTTTGTTTTCTTATTTGTACTGTCTTATCTAGCTTGGAAAATAATTACCTCACATCATTGAAATTATGTAACTGCCGAATTGTTAGGGCTTTTTAGTTAATAAATGTATTGTTCCGGGATTCTCTTGGCATTGTTAGTTTATTATGTTTTTGGATAAAATGTGATTTTTAGGCTTGGTTGGTTGGTTAAGAATCGTGTTTTACGAACATTTATCTCGTGATATAGGTTATTCGTCTTTCCCACTTTAATTGTTTTAATCTCAATTTACATGTATGCTCCTGTCACATGGCTGATCCCTACCCTCTAGCAAAAAATAAGAATTATATTTTAGTTCAGGCAAAGGTAATCTGGAACTTTCTTAGGTCCTCATTGTATGCTGGACTGTTAATTGCATGATGCCCTTTCAGGTATTCATGGTTTCCAGAGTTTATTATTAAAGCCCCAGTAGCATTTTGATTGGCATTTGTATCTTCTACTTCATCACTAAACTTTGTTATCTTCCGTACTTCAGAGTAGGGGATTTCAATGGCAGGATATTCGGATGATGATTCATTTGGAGGGTATTCTGATGACCAATGTTCAACTAGAGGGTACTCTGACGATCAATATTCAGATGGAGGATATTCTGATTATGAA